ATAGTGCCAAAGGCACTTGACTGCTAACCAGAAGGCTGGCGGTTCAAACCCACCAGCCACTCCTCGGAAGGAAGATGGGGCAATCTACTTCCGTAGTGATGTTGTTATTGTTGTTGTTATATGCCGTGGAGTCGGCCCCGACTCATAGCGACCCCTCCCTTGGGTTTCCGAGGCAGTATCGCTACAGAAGTAGGATTGCCCAACCTTCCTTCCGAGGAGTGGCGCCTCAAAAACCCAAGGAGGGGTCGCTATGAGTCAGGTCCGACTCAACGGTACATAACAACATTGAGAAAAACAAGGAGCTCTGGTGGCACTGTGCCTAAGGCAGTTGACTGCTAACCAGAAGGCTGGTGGTTCAAACCCACCAGCCACCCTGTGGAAGACTGGGCAATCTCCTTCTGTAAAGACTTAGCACCTTGGGAACCCAATGGGGGTCACAATTGAGTAATAATCAACTCGGTGGCAGTGGGTTTTTTCTTCCCTTTCTTTGGTTATTAAGAAAAGCAGCTTGACCTCTGGGACTGATAATCTGCACTTTTAAAAAGGAAATGGAAAAGAAAACTGAACAGGTGACAAGAACTAACCACATTCTCCTTAGTGACTGTTCACTTCCAATTAGAAAAATGACAGCATTTCCTAAACACTGGTTAAGGGGTTCAGGATTAGCAAGAAGGTCAGTGACAATGATCAACTTAGCAAAACAGAATTTCATATTCTTAGGGACTCTAGACTTTCTAGAGGGAGGGTGGATGAACCCCTGAGATAATCTTTAAGCCTTTAACCAAAATTATTCCCTGAAGGCATCTGAAAACCAAGTAATAGTTTAGCCTTGAGCATTATACCCTCTTAAGAACTATCTATATAGGACCAAATTAACAAAAGCAACTCAAAAGATTAGACAGCAACTTGGTGGCACTGAGTTTTAGGTTAATGAGGATGGGACAACTCAAAAAGGAGGGTGAGAAAAGGTTTCACAACTTGAAGAATGTAATCAATGTCACTGAATTGTACATGCAGAAAGTTCTGAAGGTGGTGTATGTTTTGTTGTGTATATTTTCAAAATAAAAAAGAAAATGATCAACTTACATTATTCAAGACTATTCTTCACTTTGCTTCTACAATTCTTAAGAGTTGCTACCCCTTCTGTTAGTTGACCAAGACAATGAATTTCTGTCTCCACAACTTCAAGGAAGATGACATTTTAAAGGTTAAAAGGAAAAAAAATACTGAACTTTAGGTATTTCCCAGCAGAGCTAAACCAGAAGTCAAAACAGGAAATTACAAGTCAACTGAGCACATGTAAGAGTAGTGGGTACTGCTTGACTACACTAGCTAATCGGCCTGACAAGCAATGGCAAACAGACATTAACTATCAGTGCCAAACTTCTCATTCTTGTTCCAACCCTCTACTACACAATGAAAAACTTCATTTTTTCCCAGAAGCCCTTGGACACTTAAATAACATTAGTATAAAACATGCCACGTCATGAAGTTCCTTGCTATTCATGATGACTCAGCAACTGCTGCAAAACATCTCATTGACAGCTTAGGGTAGAAGAGAGCAAGCAGATAGTCCACAAAAGTTCTAGTAAGGACTAAAAAAAGTCCCTATTATAAATTTAAAAACAAACAGGAAAACATTCTTTCTATATCTGAATACTTTCATTTGGTCGTTTCTGCCAATATTAAATAATACAGATGATGTTAATCAGGAAACCCTCAAACATCTTTAATCCCAATTCAAAAGCTAATATATATATATATATATATATATATATATATATATAAAGCAAACAGCTGAGGTAAGAAGCTTGAAGCATTTTAGATAGGAAGCAATAATAATTCATGAAAACCTGAAATTTAAAAAAATGATATGACCTGAAATCCTACCAATTCCAAGACAATTTGGATCACAGGTGTTATGTTAAGGCACTATCTCCCCAACATTAGATTTTTATCTAAGTAAATTTAAAAATAAACTGATTATAACTTCTTCTATGTGGAATATATTAACTCCCGTCTAAACTCTGTTCAAACCATGTATTGATCTGTAATCAAAACATTTTTCTCTATGTAGTAATTTTCTTTTAAGGTGGTCACAGAACGCACTCAAAGATATTTATTCTTTAGGAGAAACAGAAAGCATGTGTGTCTAACTTTCATTACACAAAAGAGGCTTAGGTTAAATGGTCAGGCTTGTGACCTGAATTCTAATCTTAAATATGCCTGCAAGTACTCCTGGTCCTACAAAGAAATTTGAAAACCAGGCACTTTCTGTATATATCTGAGGAAAAACTCACTCAACTCACCGCAGTCGAGCTAGAACCCACTTATAGCGACCCCTCGGTTACCGAGGCCGGTTCACAACGGAAGCAAATTGCCCAACCGGCCTTCCTAGGAGTGGCTGGTGGGTTTGAATCTCCAGCCTTCTGGTTAGCAGTCAAATGCCTTAAACACTATTTGTTGTTGTTGTTGTTATGTGCCGTCGAGTCGGCCCCGACTCATAGCGACCCCTCCTTGGGTTTCCGAGGCAGTATCACTACGGAAGTAGGATTGCCCAACCTTCCTTCCGAGGAGTGTCTGGTGGGTTTGAACCGCCAGCCTTCTGCTTAGCAGTCAAGTGCTTTAGCCACTATGCTACCAGACCTTCTAACTTAGTAGAGAACCACTTGATATACAATCCACAATTTTTCCATCCAAAAGTTCTTCTCAAATTCGTACTTTTAAAATAAATTGTTTTTAATGATACAATTTAACACCAACAAATAACATGTTACAGTGTTCAATATTCATTATCATACAAAATAAAGAAATCTAGTTAGTCTTCTTTTCAGAGTATGCAACAAGTTATCACACCCTTTTGCTATACTTTTCTTTTTTAACAAGTTTATTTCCCACCTTAGTATAATTGAGTTTTATAAGTAGCTTTATTACAATAAGTTTTTAACGTTTTCCACTTCTGCCCACCAACAAATAACATTGAAAAATGAAATTTTCTCAGAGTCGAAAATCTCATATATAATTAAACTCCTTTTTATAATTTTTAACACCCACGAGTGTACATGGTAGTTCAATTATAAGACCACAAACATTCCTAGAGTGTCAAAAGTACCTAAACTTTTAGAATACGCCCCATAATATTAAAATATTTTGTGCATGAGATCAGAACTGGAATCCTAGTCAACTGTGGAGAAGAGCCAATTCTAGCATCCAAAATAAAAAGAGGAAAAAAACAGGTGGAGAAGGAAGAGCCTCGCAGCAGAGATAAGACGTAAGGGTAAAGAGGGATTTTCAAAATGACCCAGTGCCACAGTAACCATAACCTGGTCAAGGGGGGAAAAAAAATCCAATGCTCTCAGACTGGAGAGAGACAAGGGCGGAGAAGACCGAGAATTAATTAATCGGTTGAGACTAAATTACTCCATTTTCCGTGTAACAGCGCCCCCCAGTCTCCCGTGAGCCCAGGAGGGAGATTCCTCCGGGCCCTCCCCACAATCACTGAACCGCGGGAGAGGAGAAAACGCACAGCACGACTAAGGGGCTCCTGCTTCATCTTTTCCTTTCTCACTCGAGGCCGTAAGTAATACCTCTAAATTCCCAATCCCCGCCAAAAAAGAGTAAGAAACCTGCGCACCGTGGGCCTGGAATTTCTTTTCCCGCCCTAAGTCAGCCGGGGAAGCCCCTGGCCCAAAGGCTTTGGGAGAGGCTGCCCTAAGCCGCACGTGTGCGCCGCACGGCTGGGCCTGTCTCTGCCCACTTCCCGTCGCCACCCCAGCGGCCTGAGCTCCCGCCGCCCCGATCAGGCCTTCCTCTGGCCCTCCCAGCCAATCCACGTGCGGCGGGCGTGGGGAACCAGAGTCTCACACAAACTGCATCCTCTCCCCAAGTCCCCAATCCGCTAGGCCACTGCGGCGTCGGGGTCCCGTACCTGGTGCTGTTGTCGACCCTGTGCGTAAGGCTTAATTGGCCCCTGGTGGCAACGCCGCGTCCGGATCTTGCCGCCGCCGCCGCCCCCTCCTATTCCTCCGGCTCCCGAGGCCATGGCGGAGCCTCCGCTGATTCCCGCTCCGGGGCGGGTTAGTGGGGCGGGAGAGGCAGAGGCAACGGCCTTAGAGCCCCCCCCGCCCGGTCCCGGCCCAAAAGTCCGCCCGCGCTGCCGACACAGTGAGATACAGGCACACCAGGGACCGCGAGGTTACGAGCAGGAGCGGAGAGAGGGTGCGCGCTGGCAGAGGGGGTGGCGGGGGCAGAGGCCGAAGAGCTGGCTCGGGTCCGGCAGCCTACCGCGGAACCCCCGCCTCTGTGTATGTCACGGTCTCTATGGAGATCTCCCGCAGAGGACAGTGCGAACGGCTCCGGGCGCTGCTGAGGCCTAACTCGACCGCCGGCTACAGGGGGTTCTTCTTCCGTCGCTCTCGCCGTCGCTGCCGCAGCTGAAGCCGACGGCGCCGCCCGCCTACCTCTCCCCTCTGCGCACAGCGCCCGCCCCGCCGTCGTCGTCGTCCCTGCAGTCACCGCCGCTGTTGCGCCTATCGCCGCTGCTAAGGCCGCCGCGGTCGCGAGCCAGAAAACCGTCACTCCTCAGCGCCCGACGCGTGTGCATCATCTCGCTGCGACCGTTGAGAGCCAAGGAGGAAGGAAGAGTGATACGAGCCCGCGCTCTCGGCCGCGCGGTGCGCCGGGAAACGTAGTTCAGCAGGAGAACGAGGGTTCTAGGAAAGGAAGACAAGGAGAGAGGTCCACCGGCAGCCGCAGAGGCACAAAGCGAGTGGGTCCGTTCATTTTTCTTGTCCTTCGCTTTAAACTTAGAAGAAACATTTAACATAAAAACACTAATCTCCTTCCCACTCACTTTTCCTCATCTGGCAGAAAGTAAGCAGAGGGGAAACAAACGACGAGAGCCAAGTCATATCTTAATTAGCAACAACAAAAAAACTGTGGTTGATAAAGCAATGCCCTTGATTCGTAGGCAGAAAACAGAATTAGAAAATACATGCACCTTCATTAAGGTCCTATTGAACATATTGGGGCATTGTTGTCAAATATACAAGGGCTAGAATTTTGAGTCCTCCACTCTGTTTGATCTTACACACACACACTGCCATTGAGTCAGCAAAAGAGAAGAGCCTCAACAAGATGGATTGAGACAGTGGCTGCAAAAATGGGTTCAAACATACAGTGATTGTGAGAATGGCGCAGGACTGGGCATTATTTCATTCTGTTGTACATAGGGTTGCTTTGAGTTGACATGGACTTGATAGCGCCTAACACCTTGCAAATCCTGTGGGGCAACAACATAGTCTAAGGAAAACTGCTGATCCTCTCTGTAAGCCTCAGTTTCTCCATCTGCAAATAGAATGAATTTTTACTTCAACATAATGGTGGTTCTGGTGAAAGGGTTTATGTATGTATGTGTAATACCTGGTTTATAGTAATTACTGTATAGAAAACATCTAATATCAGTCAGGCTGCCAGGTACAAATAATAAGAGTTCTCCTTCTGCCTAGCTTTCTCTCTGTGCAAAGGGTACACTTGTGATCTCCCATAGTTGACTGTTCTAAGGAGTGCATCCATCTGATATAGCTGTTCATCTCGTTGTTGTTGTTATGTGCCGTCGAGTCAGACCTGACTCATAGCGACCCCTCCTTGGGTTTCCGAGGCAGTATCACTGCGGAAGTAGATGGCCCATCTTCCTTCCGAGGAGTGGCTGGTGGGTTTGAACCACCAGCCTTCTGGTTAGCAGTCAAGTGCCTTGGCCACTATGCTACCAGAGCTCCCATAGGCCTATTATTTAGCTGAGACTTAAGTCATGGGAGTGAGTCCAATTCCAGGCCCAAAAAATGGCTCAGGGCCATAGTCTCCATCCAACTAGTAATCTTGGTCTTTATATTTTTGTATTTTGTTCCATATTTTTTATTCCATTCTATCCAGGATCTCCAATTTTATCTCTTTCCAAGTGATCGGCATTGGTAGCTGGGCACTATCTAATTCTTCTGGTCTCAGGGTCATGTAGGATGAGGTTCTCATGGTCCATTAGTCCCTTGGACTAATCATTTCCATGTTTCTTTGATCTTCCTCACTCTTCTTTGCTCTGGATGGGGAGGACAATAGTTGCATCTTAGATGGCTGCTCATAAGCTTTTAAAACTTCAGTTGCTACTCACCAAAGTAGGATGTAAAACGATGTTTTTCTGTACTGTATTGTGCCAATTGATCTTGATGTCGCCCAAACCATGTTCCTAAGCCTGCAGGTCCAGCAACTCATTCCCTCAAGGTACTTGGTTGTGGCTAAGAAGTTGTCCTAACTTTGTCCTCTATTATTGCTATAATGGTTACTGGGAGGTTATGTGGGTATGGAGGATCACAGTTCTTTGGTTGCCAATCACTGATGTTGATGCCAGTGCAGTCTTGGGCAAGCAGAGCTAGTTACCTGGTTCCTGCCCCAACTGGATTGCTGCTTGCAATAATTCAAAATGGCCACACTGTGCTGGACCCATTCACCACTCCATAGGAACATTATTCTGAATGTTGTCTTATTCTTTGTTTGAATGTTGGCATAGGTGAAAAAAAGCATACTTCATTTGTCCTGTCGAGGCAGTTTGACTTGTAGCAACCCCACCCTCCTTGGGTTTCCGAGGTGGTATCTCTACGGAAGTAGGTTGCCCAATCTTCCTTCCAAAAAGTGGCTGGTGGGTTTGAACTACCAGCCTTCTGATTAGCAGTCAAATGCCTTAAGCACTATGCCACCAGAGCTCCTGAAAAAATAATGTTTTATATAAATTAGAAATGCAATAGGCAGAAATATCATTTAAGATTTGGATGCCATTTCAATGAGTACTGTTGGAAGATGAGATTTGGAAGGTGAAAATGATAATGCTTTTATTTAAATCTCTGTGAGCACTATAAAAAAGTAAGCTAAGATCTCATAAGAGACATTTCCAATAAAATCTCTGATCATTTCAAGTAAGTGTAGTAGAAAATCATGCTGTTTCAAAACCATGGATTGTACCAAGTGGTACACAAGCCAAGGCCAGAAGAAAAAATAATATGTTAAGAATTATTTTTTCTTCTTTGCTGAGAATTATATTTTTAAAACCCCATACACTGAGGAGGACCAAGATGGCAGAGTTGTTGTTGTTATGTGCTGTCAAGTCAGCCCTGACTAACAGCGACCCCTACTTGGGTTTCCGAGGTAGTATCACTGTCGAAATAGATTGCCCAACCTTCCTTCCAAGGAGTGGCTGGTGGATTTGAACAGCCATCCTTCTGGTTAGCCGTCAAGTGCCTTAGGCACTACGCTACCAGAGATCTTAAGATGGCAGAGTAGGCAGATAGATGTAATAGCCAGACCTTTTACAACAAAGATTGAGAAACCAAGTGAAATGGATACAGATAACAATCCTGGAACCCAGAGTTTCAAAGGAAAGTGTAAAAAAATAAGGTCAAATACTGATTAGTGAAAAGACTGAATGAAAACAGTGAACAATGAGGAATATGGAGTGGTGAATTGCCAATGGGTCCAGCACAGTGTGGCCATTTTGAATTACTGCAAGCAGCATTCCAAATGGAGCAGGAACCAGGTAACCAGCTCTGCTTGCTCAGGACTGCACTGGCATCTTCATCAGTGGTTAGCAATCAGAGAAGTGTGATTCTCCCCCTACCCCATATAACCTCCCAGTGACCAAAGGTGCAGCAACTCCTTTTCCCTATCCACACCACAGCCGGTCAAACCCCCCATTGCCAGTGCAGTGCTGCTTGTTTTTTCTTTCTTTTTACTTCTTACCTCTTTCTTCCCTTTCCCTGCGTTTTTTTCCTTTCCTTCCTCTCTCTCTCTCTCTCTTTTTTTTTTTTTTGATCCTGTGTTGCTGATACATAGTGAACCCACCACCTCCTCAGCAAGTATCGCTCACCTCCACACCCCTGTGATTGGAGGGGTGTGCTCCTGTAGAGTAAGCACTGAGTTGCAACAATGTTTGGTGGCCAGCACTTGTTATCAGTATTGTGCCACTTTTTATTTTCTTTCTCTTTTTTGTTGATTTTTTTTCTTCTTAATTTTTCCTTGTCCCCTTCTTGCTTTTTTCTTTTCCTTTTATTCCTACTCTTGTCTCTAACATGTTGTGTGTATGTGTGTGTACTATGTTGTGCCAATTGAGCTTGATGTCCCCTGCAACCATAGTCCTGAGCCTACAGGCCCAGCAACTCACTCCCTCAAGGTGCTTAGTTGTGGCTGAGAAGTTATCCTAATTTCGTCCACTGTTAAGTCTATAATGCATGTGGACATTTTAATAGCACATACAGATACGTATGCAGGAATATCATCTGCCAAACCGATGTATGGTCATGGGTGTATTTCCATTTGCCTACTCATACCTGATCTTCTTGCCTGTCTGCCTATGTATCCAAGCATAGACTAGTGTTTGTTACTACTAATATTGTACTATTGTGTCTATAATAATGTTTACCTTTATTCTATACCTCTTATGCACCTGTCTTCTTTTTCCTTCATGATATTGTGCTGGTCACATGCTTTTGTTGTATTGCCTTACCCTTCACCCAAATCAACATGTCTCTTAATTAGCCAACAATTTTCCCTCCCGTCCCCATCCACCCTTGGTAACCAACGAAGAAAATTCCATCCCTGTGTAAACCATTCTCTGAGTTTTTGTGATTGCCTTATTTTACCCAGCATGATGTCCTGTAAGTTCATCCACGTTGTGAGGTGATTCATGGATTCTTCATTATTCTTTAATGTTGCACAGTATTCCATTGTGTGTATGTATTGTAGTTTGGTTATCCATTTATCTGTTGATAGGCACTTAGATTGTTTCTATCTCTTTGCTATTGTGAATAGTGCTGTGATGAACATGGGTGTGCAAAAATCTTTTTGTGCCTTGGATCTCACCTCTTTAGGATATATTCCTGGTAGTGGGATTGCTGGGTCAAATAGTATTTTTATTTACAACTTTTTAAAGATGCTCCCTACCATTTTCCACAGTGGTTGGACAATTTTATAGTTCACCAGCAGTGTATGAGAGTCTTAATCTCTCTGCAACCTTGCCATGATTTGTTGCTTTGTCTTGTTGAACTTTATTGTTATTGGTGAAGTGAGATGATGTCTTATTGTTGTTTTGATTTGCATCTCTTTAATGCGTACTGGTCATATGTTTGTTGGCTGCCTAAATACCTTCTTTGGTGAAGTGTCTGTTCATGTCCTTTGCCCATTTTTTAACTGGATTGTTTGTCTTTTGGATGTTAAGGTGTTGAAGTTTTCTAAAAGTTTTAGAGATAAGTCCCTTGTCAGATATGTCATTGCAAATATTTTTTTCCCCAATCTATAGGTTCTCTTTTTACTCTTTTGAAGAAGACTTTTGATGCACATAAAAATTGAATTTTTAGAAGGCTCCAGTCATCTAGTTTATTTTCTACTGCTTGTTCATTTTTGGTTATGCTTGATAGTGTATTTATGCCATAAATTAGGGCCCCTAAGTT